TCTGTGCTGTTATTAATCTCCTCTATGGCAAATAGCATAGCCTGGGCAAACTGGAACCCTCTGAAATTCAAGCTTGATGCAAACAGTTAATAATAATTAGTTACAAAAAGTCCATGCAGTAGAAAGAGTGGCACAGTACATGGAAGTATTTGATGGTAAAATCAAACACAACAGGAGTATATCCTCATTTAAATATTCAATGTTATACCCTTTCAGAAATCTGAAGCAAAATATTGATATGGTATACTGTTACCTGGTGCATTGCAGTGGCAGTGGTTTGTCCATGTAGGAATCCAGTCTGTTCTTCCAGCTGCTGTGGAAAGAGAAGATTCCCCCCAACATTATGTCCCCATCCTTAAACATCTGAGGGATCTCAGGGTCCCCTCTCTGTGTGCACACTGACTCCTCAGCCTGAGAGAAAGATGCCACCATTAACAGATGTAAGAGTGCCCATCCCTGCTCCGGCCACCTCTGTGTGGATGACATACTGTTTGAGTGAGCCAAAACAATTCAGTGGCATCACATGAACCCCAATGTAAATTTAAATTGGGCACTTGTATTTATATATTTTGGAGAAACTTGGGAAAGAATAATGGAACATTGATGTTTTATCTCTGTGGACTTGGGGGCAAAGGAAGGAGGCGCCAAACAAGAAAAGGGTTATTGGCGTTACCAAACTTACTGGTACTTGTGTGCTCTCAATTTATCTGCTAAAAAAACAACTATTATTCAATTATTTCTAAAATGATCATATCTTGAAACTTCTCTAACCCAAAATCCATGGCCTATTTCCAAGTTACATTTCATAATTAAAGCCAGCTAGTGCTAGTGGAGCACGCGCGTGAACTGCGAGCGCCGGAGCCTCGCAGCGGCGGAACTGTGGCGCGCTTAATTGTGCCGCTTTTGCGCATCAGATGAGGCCCCCTCCGCAAGATGAGGCCCCACGCAGTCTGCGTGATCTGCGTGTAGGGAGGGGCGGGCCTGGATGGTATGTTTTAGGTTTGGCAGCTTCAACTTCAGGAAACAGTTTTGTTTTTTAAGAAATCTACCTAAGGATTAGATATAAAATGCATAAATAAAAAAGCATAACATTGATCTAAGGAAATGTGCAGTAGAGGAAGCCGATGGCCTCGGTAGCCATTCGGATCATGCCTTCTGCCTTGCCTTCCCTGAGCCAGCTAGCCCACCTACTTTCTGACTGATCTTGTATTTTCTGAACCCTGTGAGCCTTCAGTCGACCTGTTGACCAGTAAGCCTGACGTCCTTCTGCCATGTCTCAACATGTCTCACCTTGCCATTTGCAGGACGTTCTTCCTAGAAGAAAGCATTCACCATGTCATCTTTGCGGATGCACAGCCAGATCATCAGTAGGCCATCTACACTGACAGCCAGCCAGATCAGTCTTCATTGACACCTAAAATCAGATGACCATCTCTTCCAAATCATTGGTCAGCCTACCTGAGAGTTCCTGCACTGCTACTCTCAGTAGTTAAACAAATAGAGCATTATTAATGTGCTAATGCACTTACACGTCAAACATAGGAAGAACATTCAAAGGTGAGAGGGTTGCACACTTTTTATTCCTCCAAATGAAATAACTTTTATATCAACATGAACCAGTGGCGAACCGTCAGGGCCTTCAAGGTATTCAGAGAATACCCTGGAACACTCAGATAAAACAAACAAAAAATCGATTTAATTATATAAATAAAATGTAATAAAATGTATGTGAAATGAATAAATGAGAATCGTATCTGTGTTGTTGATCTGTAATATTACAGTGTTACGTTGATTTGTTTGTCCTTCTCGGTCCATGCACTACGCATTTCAGTGGTTTTGTGTTAGAAAAGAAAAGCAACTAATCAGATATTTGTCTGGGTCTCTGGGTAGAATATCCTTCAACAAGGTATTCTATATCCTTGATAGAATACCCTGGCCGTTGCACTGAATGAGAGTGTACCTTTGGATTGACAGTTTGATCAACCAATCATATATTGATTTGTAGCCAATGGGCGTATTCTTTCAGAGTTTCCCTCGGTTCCAGGGTATTCTAGAAGGCCCGGTAGTTCACTGGCTCGAGACAGAGGATCTAGATAAATGCCACGAAGCAATTCATATGCCGTTTTATTGTTTTTAACATTGAAATGGCAAGTGCAACAGGTGAAGATGATGTTGTTGCGGAATTGTTGTGACTACCCTTTTCAAGACGACAATTCAGTGAAAAGACAGACATTATAACGGCAGGGGGCGCGGCGTTGGCGGCGGAGGGTGTGTGTGTGTCTAAAGAAGGTCCAGTTGTGATAGACACGGTTCGCCACTGACATGCACACATTGTGAAATATTACCAATACTATAACGTTGGTAAATGTTCTATCACTTTTATTTTTCACTTGTATCTCATTGTGAAGTTCCTGTCAAAGCCTAACAGTATGGTCTTATCTAGGAATGATTTGACATCTAACTTAATTGCTTCCAAAGGTTTAAAAACATAAGCATATGAACTTAAAGTATGAGTCTTTCTTTCTTTACTTCAGGGTAGAAAGTTTTGTATCGAAAGTCAACATCATGGTCAAATCCTCCAGGGCATAATTATGATTATCATGATGCAACAGGCCTGAGGGGAAGTTTCCAGTATAGGCTGAGGGGACAGGTGTGGAGCAAGCGGCAAACTCTGGGGAAGAGCCGGGACGCCAATACGGAAGTGCCACAAACTGCAGTTCACATATTGGCCGATAGGCGATGACTGCAGAAAGGAGGAATTTCCATAGACCCCCATGTTAAAATGCCCAATTTTACAGCAGAAAAAAACATGTTTCTACCCCTGGATGCAATACATATTATTATGGATATAGTTAGATTCCACCTTCATGATTAGGAATCTGTGAGTGAATTGTTTTCTAACGCGACCCTTTTATTTATATTAGGTCTTAAGGTTTTTGCATAAATTAGGGCGTAGTCACTTTGATGGACAGGTACGTGCCTCACTGTCAGCTAACAGCAACTTGTCCACTCTGCTAGGCTACAACGTTAGTTAGTTGTAGTTACTGTACTTGACCCTTTAGCCGTGTTCGTGTGCCTTTTAGGGAATATTGTTACAAATACCAGAAAATTAAAATGTCGTGCTGTGCGCTTGAATGTACTAACAGAACTTCAAGAAGTCTAAAATGATAATATTATACATGTTAACCCCGTTAGCCGGTGTTTGTGTGCTTGTTAGCTTAGCTTGTTATGTAGCTTATTAGCCAGCTAAGGATGTAACCCTTTATACATTTATATATATATATATATACAGTTTAGTTTATGATTCAGCCTTGGGTAAGACTTGTATAGTATATGGCTATGACGCCCATAATGCTAAAGAGGAGCAAATGTTAAAAGGGGACCCAATTATCCCAGTGGTGGCCGCCAGAGCTAACGGAGCCGCAGGGGGCTAGCTCCAGCCGGCGTCCAGCTCCAGCCGGCGTCCCGGAGCCCCCTGCGGCTCCGTTAGCTCCGGGCGGTGGAGTCCGGCGTTATAACTGGAGATCAAGGAATGCAGCGAAACGCGGACTTGGTTCGCCTGCAGCCTGCTGTAGTATTAGTTAAATAAATGATGTTGAACAAGGCTTATTAAGCTGAACATCGCCACAATTGTTCTGCTATGTATCGGTACTTCTTTTATTTTATTAACGTTATGACAAGCATTAAGAATAACAAAAAATAGCTAATTCTCTTGCAGATTGTCTCGTTTGATTATGAATGTAACGTATAGGGGAACTACACTGTTTTATCAAAACCAAAGTGCCACGCAGTAACTTGGTATGCATGTATTTCATGTTAGCTTAGCTTCTTAGCCTGAGCTAGCTCTGTTTACTTCCAGTTCGGAGGCAGCAGGTCCCGCCTCGGCTCCGCCTCTTTGCCCTTATTTGGAGCAGGCGGGAGTTAGACTCTGACGTCACTGTCGAGCCGTTAGTGGCCGACTCCGCCTACTAAGGGCTTCTCGGCAACTCTGCAGAATCCTATGGGTGACGTCACGGACACTACGTCCATTTATATATACAGTCTATGGTGTGGAGGCAGGCTGGGGACACTGTGAACTCCAGAGGAAGTTTGTTAGTTTGTTAAAGCGCTTCGAGTGGAAATAGCCTGAGGTTGATCTGCAGTAAAATAGACACCAGTGCCAGTGCAGCTCTCAGTATGTCCATAGTTCCACAGTTATTGTAGATAGCCTACTGTAGCCAAGTTTAACATTAGGGAGCATGTCAGGATTTTTGTTGATCTCATTGATAGCAAAAATCAATGCTTGAGAAAATTTGAATTATCTCAAATTGAAGCTAGGGTGTTGTGAAAGATAGAACAAAATAATAAATTTGTGTTGAGTCTCAAATACCGTACAATGAACATACAACATTGAAAATATGCCTAACAATACATACTTTTTACATTTCCGTACTCCTGGAATTGTCTGAAATGTGTTAATTACGTAATCCTGCCTTGTGCGGAATGAAAAAATGCCTCCAATAACAAGGTCACCATCTTGGAACAGTTCAGGCGGTTGTGCTGAGTCTTGCAGTCGGTAAAACAGAGTCCCCCTTCCCCATTAGCAGAACCAAAAGGAGCGGCCTCAGTAAGGACATGGCTGTGCTCTTCAGGTCACGCCAATCTGCTTGAGAGCTCATGACACCCCTTTATACACCATCAATAACAGGAAGGGCATTTTCCTGCTTGAAAATAAGTCTCAGGAGACGAGAATGAAATTTAAGTTTAGTCAAATGTTTTATGCGAGACAATGTTGATTTTATTATTTGAATAACAATTTCTGGCAATTAATCTGAAATCACATAGGAGATTGGTATTTTGGGTCTGCATATAATTGTATTCTTTTTTTATTTGCATACATACATATTGGTTGAAACTTGTATTCTATTAAAAGGAGTCATCTCAATATGCTACGTTACACAGTAAAATAACTCACAGTTGGAGACACTAAAATAAACAAATATAATTATAGGGTTCCATAATTATTTTAGGGCTCCCTTTCCCATTATATATTTTTTTGTATTCCTCTCTGGTTTGAGTAAGATGATATAACATTTTGGGATGAAAATACAAAAGAGCAGTCCAAAACTGGAGGACAGAATAGCAAATATCTCTACAGCAACACTAAACTTTCCAGGAGAGCTTACATACGCTGGGATGAAAGTGATCCATACAGCGCAGAATATCAGCATGCTAAAGGTTATAAATTTGGCTTCATTAAAGTTATTAGGCAGTTTACGAGCCAGAAAAGCAAGAATGAAACATAAAATGGCCAGTAGTCCTATGTACCCAAGTACAGACCAAAAGCCCAAAGCTGAGCCCAAAGCACACTCTAAGATTATTTTGTCTTTGAAGTCTTTAAGATTCTTAAAAGGAAAAGGAGGAGAAATTGTTAACCAGAGGATACATATCATTACTTGTATTAGAGTAAAACCCAGAACAGTTAGTCTCTGCTGGGCAGGCCCAAACCACTTCATCATATTACTGCCTGGAAGTGTAGCCCTGAAGGCCATTAGCACCACTATAGTTTTCCCCAGAACACAAGAGATACAGAGGACAAAGGTGATGCCGAATGCTGTGTGTCGCAGCATGCAGGACAAATTTGAGGGCCGACCGATGAAGGTCAGAGAACACAGGAAACACAGAGTCAAGGAGAAGAGCAGCAGGAAGCTCAGCTCAGAGTTGTTCGCCCTGACAATTGGAGTTTTCCTGTATCTGAAGAAAATGAATGCCACAACAGCTGTGATGCATGTTCCAAATAAGGATGCTGCAGTGAGCAGCGCTCCCATAATCTCTTCATATGACAGAAACTCTGCCTCCTTCTTTACACAGGCATCTCTTCTTTCATTTGACCAGAACTCAGGGTGACACCGCACACAGGTGATCGAATCTGAAAAAAAAAAGATTTGGTAAACATTATGTATAATTATTTTTTAATTTTGTATTTGTCCCTACGTTGCATCTTTTCTAAGCATACAAGACAGTACAGCACATAATAAGTATATACAATGTTTTGCTTATTTGTACAAGCACAAGTTCTTCCCAGGGATTTCTATGAATTTCTATGAATAATGAAATGATTTATTTTAGTTAGACTTGAAGTAGAAACATTTATTTTACATTGGTGCTTTAACATAATGCATTAATCCTTAGGAAGACTTTTGCATATATTTATATAGCTGACTTCAGAATTCTGTCTCAGTATCTGTATATGTATCATTTGCAATTATTTGTTATGTAACGATATTGTGTTTTTTTCTTCTTAAAGGACTGCATGGTTTCGAAATCCCCCAAAACCCACTGCAATTTCTTAAAATGAACAATACATGTTTTGTCTTGCATTCATGTAACTATACCTGTACTGTTGCTGATGTCTCCCTCTGCACATCTTATACAGTCATAGCAGCAGACAGGCATTCCTTTTTGGAGAACCTTGCGAGTTCCTGGAAGACATTCTTCACTGCAAACTGACACAGGCACCTGTGGGATCAAATCGACTATGAGAAGAAAGAAAAAGATCGGCCTTCACTTTGATTACTGTGTTGCCTTTGCATATTTCTATTTAAAATGTTGATGCATAAAAACCATACATTATGACGTGCATGACTAACAGTGTCAATTTCATATTTATAATGAAACAAAAAGACTGTAATTAGCAACGACAGTGATGTATGTTACCTGTTGGGAGTTCTGTGTCCAAGTTATAGACTCATTTTGCAGATTTAGCTGTTTGTTTGCAGGTAAAGATGCATCATAAAGGCCAACTGTGACAAAGTCCACAATGTCATTTTCTCTTGGCTTCCAATTTATAATTTCATACTTTGCTGCTGGGTCTCCATTTTCATTGAAGTAAACCTCTTCTCCTTCCTTTGTTTTAAAGTGAATAGTTCTTATGTGCTGTAAAATCTGAAAAACAAATATCCGTCAATGCAGAACATAATTTGAAGAATGTGTTGTGGTCCAAGTGTTTTAACAGCATGATAGACAGCAAAAGTTTAATTTACGTTATTGTAAACATGTTCCTTGTTGATGTGAGTTAATGTAAAAACTTCAGTAACATTGGTGTTCAACTCACCGTAAATGGATCTAGCTGCACCTTGGTGTTACATGTGTTGTTACAGCTGAGGATAACATGAAGTGCGTGGGCCGCAGCATACACTCCTTTATAGACATTGTTAAAGATAGGCATCAGAGACATATCGGTGAAGCTGTTTTGCACTTCAGTCAAATCTTCACGTCCAGTACATTCTTTCTGATTTCTTGATGAAGACTTTGACTGCTTGAACTTACAGCTAAATAACGTCTCATAAAACGTTGTAAACATTTCATTACTAGATACATTGAGCGGCCTCACATCCAACATGAACTCCCTCATGCCACTGACATGTACTTCGGGGATAGACAGGCCTATAGAACCGTCTAGAATGTGATGCTTATCCACGGTTGCAATTTGTGAATCAAGGATCCAGCCCTCAGAGCCTATCCACTGGTACCCAGTCAAGTTGTGGTGAGAAAATTCATGTAGTATCACATCCAAATCCATGTGGGAGAGGAAAGCAATGATCACCTTGGAAGTGGAAGCCTTGATAATGTCAATTATCTTTTGTATTTTGTCTGGTGGATCGGTTCTAAAGAAGGACACAGAGTACTCAAGACAGATGCCAAGCTGCTGGGCTGTTTCTGTGAATGTGGCCATACCGTTGTTTCCATAATCATCATTTGTTCTAATAGCTCCAACCCAAGTCCAACCAAAATGCTTAACCAGCTGAGCCAGGCCTCTGCTCTGGTAGTAGTCACTGGGTATTGTTCTGAGGAAGGATGGGTACTTGGATTTATCACTGAGACAGGCACACGTAGCAAAGTGGCTGATCTAAAAGAAAAAAACAAGTTACATCCCAAGGTAAAGATTCAGAATATAAAGTAGTTATAGAGCCAACTACAATCCCTTTTGCTATACATAGTTGCAATAGTAGAATATTAATAATATCAAACAATCTTACCCACCATTGGAATATGAAAGGGTCCGATGGCAGCAGCCATAGCCATGCAAGGAGAGGAAGAATGTTCTCCCATAATGGCCTGCACTTGGGCAGGTCTTGTACATGGTACTTCAGAGGGTTGTGATACAACTTCATTACCATTTGCAAAGGCCAATGCAACCCTCACACTTTTGGCAATTGAGCCACAGGAATCATAGATCCTATAGCCCAGAGAGATGCCAGGCAATAGGTCCGTGCTGTTATTAATCTCCTCTACGGCAAATAGCATAGCCTGGGCAAACTGGAACCCTCTGAAATTCAAGCTTGATGCAAACAGTTAATAATAATTAGTTACAAAAAGTCCATGCAGTAGAAAGAGTGGCACAGTACATGGAAGTATTTGATGGTATATCCTCATTTAAATATTCAATGTTATACCCTTTCAGAAATCTGAAGCAAAATATTGATATGGTATACTGTTACCTGGTGCATTGCAGTGGCAGTGGTTTGTCCATGTAGGAATCCTGTCTGTTCTTCCAGCTGCTGTGGAAAGCGAAGATTCCCCCCAACATTATGTCCCCATCCTTAAACATCTGAGGGATCTCAGGGTCCCCTCTCTGTGTGCACACTGGCTCCTCAGCCTGAGAGATAGATGCCACCATTAACAGATGTAAGAGTGCCCATCCCTGCTCTGGCCACCTCTGTGTGGATGACATACTGTTTGAGTGAGCCAAAACAATTCAGTGGCATCACATGAACCCCAATGTAAATTTAAATTGGGCACTTGTATTTATATATTTTGGAGAAACTTGGGAAAGAATAATGGAACATTGATGTTTTATCTCTGTGGACTTGGGGGCAAAGGAAGGAGGCGCCAAACAGGAAAAGGTTATTGGCGTTACCAAACTTACTGGTACTTGTGTGCTCTCAATGTATCTGCTAAAAAAACAACTATTATTCAATTATTTGTAAAAAGATCATATCTTGAAACTTCTCTAACCCAAAATCCATGGCCTATTTCCAAGTTGCCTTTTATAATTAAAGCCAGCTAGTGCTAGTGGAGCACGCGCGTGAACTGCGAGCGGCGGAGCCTCGCAGCGGCGGAACTGTGGCGCGCTTAATTGTGCCGCTTTTGCGCATCAGATGAGGCCCCCTCCACAAGATGAGGCCCCACGCAGTCTGCGTGATCTGCGTGTAGGGAGGGGCGGGCCTGGATGGTATGTTTTAGGTTTGGCAGCTTCAACTTCAGTAAACAGTTTTGTTTTTTAACCTCTTAAGCCCTGAGCCTGTTTTTCAGGTCTCAGGCTCGAAAATGACATTCCCAGAACAAATGACCCGATCTTCCCTTCTAAAAGGGTTAAATTAATAATCTTTATTGTCAAAGTAATGATAAACCTGTGAGTTGGATGTAGAAAAGTCAGAATCAATATAGATGTTTTTTATTTTAAAGAAAATTCAGATTTTACATAGTAAAAAACTGTAAATTATAGTGTCCGTCCAAAAATTCTTTTTTACTTATAGTGAAAACTACCCTTGGATGATGGGTTAGTAGACTAAAAGCTTTAAGAATCCAAAGTACAACATATAATAAGAACCCTGTATCAAGATTGATGCAAAACAAGTGAAATTAGACCTTTTTAGAGAGATTTAGCCAAAAACCCCCACTTCTGGGGTCATTTGGGTGGATTTGACCTATCTCTGGCCCCCCTTGCTCGATTTTGATGAATGAAATCTCTTTATAACCGCTAGAGCCAATGGAATCGAGGGAAAGTTATATACACACCAAAACGTTAACAAATAAGGAGTGAGAGTGACGCGTTACCAAAACCGGAAGCTGCATACACTCTGGTGGCTACCATTAGCAGCTAACTTTTCCGCTCCGATCTTTACATAAAAAATGGAATTATGGATTATAAATAATTTCTTCAAAGGCACAGGTACATTATCAACCTATGGATCAACAGTTGTAGCATTTTTTTTTTTCGTTTTAATGCCATTGAACACGTATTTTGACCTAATTGACAGCTACGGTGAGACGATCTGCCGTAAAAGCTCCGTAAAGGTACGTGTTGTGATGTCTGTGTTTGCTTCCCCTGTCGCAAGTTCGGATCGCTCAGTGATGATACTATACCTAAATAATGAGTGGAGTCTCAGCTTTAAATCGGCTATATTGTATGTGCAGCTACAATAAGTAATAAGGGTATTTTTATCTTGAATTGTGTGCCGCAGTGCGTTAGAATTTTTTCGCTCAGGGGTCATTTAGACGCTTCTTATGAGACTTGTGTTTTGTTTTGGTAAAAATGGTTCATATCTTCAGTTAGCTGAGATTCTTCCCGTTAATCTGGTGCTACACATTAATAGTTTCATAAATGTTAAGAAGCCCTTAGACATTATCTCGAAAAAAAAACGGTGGGAGGGGTCCAATGGGGGGACCGCCGTGCTTAAGAGGTTAAGAAATCTACCTAAGGATTAGATATAAAATGCATAAATAAAAAAGCATAACATTTATCCAAAGAAATGTGCAGTAGAGGAAGCCGATGGCCTCGGTAGCCATTCGGATCATGCCTTCTGCCTTGCCTTCCCTGAGCCAGCTAGCCCACCTACTTTCTGACTGATCTTGTATTTTCTGAACCCTGTGAGCCTTCAGTTGACCTGTTGACCAGTAAGCCTGACGTCCTTCGGCCATGTCTCAATATGTCTCACCTTGCCAGGACGTTCTTCCTAGAAGAAAGCATTCACCATGCCATCTTTGCGGATGCACAGCCAGATCATCAGTAGGCCATCTACTCTGACAGCCAGCCAGATCAGTCTTGACACCTAAAATCAGATGACCATCTCTTCCAAATCATCGGTCAGCCTACCTGAGAGTTCCTGCACTGCTACTCTCAGTAGTTAAACAAATAGAGCATTATTAATGTGCTAATGCACTTACACGTCAAACATAGGAAGAACATTCAAAGGTCAGAGGGTTGCACACTTTTTATTCCTCCAAATGAAATAACTTTTATATCAACATGCACCAGTGGCGAACCGTTAGGGCCTTCAAGGTATTCAGAGAATACCCTGGAACACTCAGATAAAACAAACAAAAAATCCATTTAATTACATAAATAAAATGTAATAAAATTAGGGGTGTCAGTCGATTAAAATATTTAATTGCGATTAATCGCATGATTGTCCATAGTTAATCGCGATTAATCGCAAATTAATCGCACATTTTTTATCTGTTCTAAATGTACCTTAGAGGGATATTTTTCAAGTTTTGAATACTCTTATCAACATATGAGTGGACAAATATGCTTTATATGTTTGTTTATTATCATTTGAACAATGACAAATATTCTCATGAATATTAAACACAACAACCTCTGAACATTACAAATATTCGCCTCAATTCAACCTGGAACCTCTCTCATACAATAATACAATACAAAGTGTGTGTGTGTGTGTGTGTGTGTGTGTGTGTGTGTGTGTGTGTGTGTGTGTGTGTGTGTGTGTGTGTGTGTGTGTGTGTGTGTGTGTGTGTGTGTGTGTGTGTGTGTGTGTGTGTGTGTGTGTGTGTGGAGACACTGTGATGGATCGTTGGAGCTATGTGCAGCTCAAGGCATATATGCTCGAACGGGAGCTGCCTGGACGCTGCAATCATGTTGCGCGCACTATCCGTGCTGAGTGTGCTGACTTTTCGTACAATGTCCCACTGTCTGGCTACCTGCATAAAGTCAAGTGCTCGGCGCAGTTGTCGGTGAAATGTCGCTCCTCTGTTTTCATTGAAACAGCTCCTTATATCCGTTAGCGCAGCTAGCTAGCACCAGATGCTAACAACAACAACACTATTTTAAACTCGATGCGCTCTGAAACTACGGGGCGGGGCGGCCGAGGACAAATAAATACACATGCGTTAATCGCGTTAAAATAATTAGTGGCGTTCATTTTTTTTTGCTATTTTGTTATTAACGCGTTAACTTGACAGCCCTAAATAAAATGTATGTAAAATGAATAAATGAGAATCGTATCTGTGTTGTTGATCTGTAATATTACAGTGTTACGTTGATTTGTTTGTCCTTCTCGGTCCATGCACTACGCTTTTCAGTGGTTTTGTGTTAGAAAAGAAAAGCAACTAATCAGATATTTGTCTGGGTCTCTGGGTAGAATATCCTTCAACAAGGTATTCTATATCCTTGATAGAATACCCTGGCCGTTGCACTGAATGAGAGCATACCTTTGGATTGACAGTTTGATCAACCAATCATATATTGATTTGTAGCCAATGGGCGTATTCTTTCAGAGTTCCCCTCGGTTCCAGGGTATTCTAGAAGGCCCGGTAGTTCACTGGCTCGAGACAGAGGATCTAGATAAATGCCACGAAGCAATTCATATGCCGTTTTATTGTTTTTAACATTGAAATGGCAAGTGCAACAGGTGAAGATGATGTTGTTGCAGAATTGTTGTGAGTACCCTTTTCAAGACGACAATTCAGTGAAAAGACAGACATTATAACGGCGGGGGGCGCGGCAGGGGGCGCGGCGGTGGCTGCGGAGGGTGTGTGTGTGTCTACAGAAGGTCCAGTTGTGATAGACACGGTTCGACACTGACATGCACACATTGTGAAACATTACCAACACTATAACGTTGGTAAATGTTCTATCACTTTTATTTTTCACTTGTATCTCATTGTGAAGTTCCTGTCAAAGCCTAACAGTATGGTCTTATCTAGGAATGATTTGACATCTAACTTAATTGCTTCCAAAGGGTTAAAAACATAAGCATATGAACTTAAAGTATGAGTCTTTCTTTCTTTACTTCAGGGTAGAAAGTTTTTTTATCGAAAGTCAACATCATGGTCAAATCCTCCAGGGCATAATTATGATTATCATGATGCAACAGGCCTGAGGGGAAGTTTCCAGTATAGGCTGACGGGACATGTGTGGAGGCAGGCTGGGGACACTGTGAACTCCAGAGGAAGTTTGTTAGTTTGTTAAAGCGCTTCGAGTGGAAATAGCCTGAGGTTGATCTGCAGTAAAATAGACACCAGTGCCAGTGCAGCTCTCAGTATGTCCATAGTTCCACAGTTATTAAAGATACTGTATCCAAGTTTAACATTAGGGAGCATGTCAGGATTTTTGTTGATCTCATTGATAGCAAAAATCAATGCTTGAGAACATTTGAATTCTCAAAAATTGAAGCTAGGGTGTTGTGAAAGATAGAACAAAATAATACATTTGTGTTAAGTCTCAAATACAGTACAATGAAGTAAGGACATGGCTGTGCTCTTCAGGTCACGCCAATCTGCTTGAGAGCTCATGACACCCCTTTATACATCATCAATAACAAGAAGGGCATTTTCCTGCTTGAAAAGAAGTCTCAGGAGACGAGATGAAATTTAAGTTTAGTCAAATGTTTTATGCGAGACAATGTTGATTTCATTATTTGAATAACAATTTCTGGCAATTAATCTGAAATCACATAGGAGATTGCTATTTTGGGTCTGCATATAATTGTATTCTTTTTTTATTTGCATATATACATATTGGTTGAAATGATGGTACATTGCATTCTATTAAAAGGAGTCATCTCAATATGCTACGTTACACAGTAAAATAACTCACAGTTGGAGACACTAAAATAAACAAATATAATTATAGGGTTCCATAATTATTTTAGGGCTCCCTTTCCCATT